AACAAAACCCGTGATTTTCCGGAACTAAAAAACCGGATTTTTTCCTGATTTTTGTTTTTTATTTTTTTTTACAGGGCTAGTATGAAAAACAGAATAAACTATAGTTAATAAATTATATATATAAGCAGGTTTTATATTGCTACATCAATAAAATACTTTAGTATTTTGGGTCTTATTAAGATGATGCATTTTTTCCAAATATATATATATATATACGTGTAAATGTGATTATGTGTGCATATATGTGAATTTTTTGTGCATCGATTATAATATGAAACAAACAATAATATTAGAATTATACTAATAAAATAAATATTTAATTCAATTATTGTATATTTCATCATTCTCTTCTAATTCTTATTGCAATTCTAACTCCCAAACTTAACTACTATCATGCCAGTATCCAGTCTCTTCCCACTAAAATAACCTGGAAAATACTTAATGGAGGAAGATATATAATATTTCCTCCTCCTAGAGCAAAAACAAAAACAAAAACAGGAAAGGACAATATAAAAATAACTCACCTGGACTAAATAAAAAGATCATAGAAACAAAGAATGATGATTGAATTAAACACCACAAGAATATGATTGAAAATTCATCTCAGAACCAGAACACCAACAGAAATGACAACGAGAAACAGCAACAAAAGAGAAATGAAAAGAAAAGAAAAAAACAAAACAAATAATATGCACTCTAGAACAATGATCACAGCAATATCAATACCAATGACAAAAATGATAAAAGCAGGAAAAACAGTTCAGAATTACGAAGAGAAAGGAACACCTCTTCAACACCAACATCAATGGAAAGACATGTCATCCAGACTGACAACCCCAACTATAAAACAAATCAACATTGAAAATAAACAAGAAGAATAAAGAATCTATAACTAAAACAGGATGACAATGACAGTAACAGATTGAAAAAAAGAGCAAGAAAAATAAATAAAAATCTTATCTCAGGATCAGGGAACAGGAAGAATTCACCAATGGTTGGGAAAGAGTGAAAGAAAATACAGATGTAATAAAAAAGAAAATGAGAGATTGAGGCAACAACTGGAGAGATAGAGCAGCAAAATTATAATATTCTCAGTACCTAATGGAAGAAAGATGAAATGACAGTGTTATGGCCTGGAATTATCTCTAATTCCTTAATTTCTTAATTTTAATCATGTGATAAAATATAGATTGTAGAAATAATAGAGATAGCAGAGTTCTCAGACATATTAATATTATTTGCTATATCATATTTATCTAATATATATAATATATCTTATATTGTAATAACTTAATCATAAAAATATTTTATATAAATAAAGAACCTTTTAGATAAATCAAAAGGCATCAATTAATCAATACAAAATTTAGCTAGTTAATAAACTACTTCTTGTTTATTGTTTAATGAAATTGTATATTAATTGATTTTTATAATTATTAATCTTGTTATAATACTTACTTTATACACTACTGGACACTTAACCAGGTTGTTATAGAATATTAGTACTGTATTGTTATAGAACTGTCACCACATTAAGTAAATACAAAGAAAATATTTATTAGTAGTGTTACTTATTTTAAATTAATAGAATAGAAAAAGTCGCACAGCGCCACGATCCTAAAGCAACTGAATCGAATTTTTAACTTACTGAGATAGATGTTGGTTGAACACATACATCATGAGATTACCTACCTGAGTCCAGGATTTGTAACAACAGTGATAACAATAATAAGAATGGATGGAATCATGACATTTATCATCATATTGATAACCAGAACAAACAGATAATAGTAATAGTGAAAACAACAATGAAAAAGAAAAAAGAAACTGAAGAAAGAAAATAACCAAAACAAAATGAAAAAAAATTAACAAAAATAACAAAGAGAACTAACTTATCTCAAGACTGACATCAAGAACAGTTCACCAATGATTGGAGATGAAATGAAGAAAGCAACAGAAGAAATGAAAAGAAAAATGAAAAAGAGGGAAAACAAAAACAAAAAAAGAAGAGAAAATGAAAAAAATCTACTTCAGAGTCAAGATCGTGAAAGTTTCATTTATGATTGGGAATAGAACAAGAAAAAGGATATTGTTACAATTATTTTCAATAATTCCGTAATTAACAAATCTTTTAAAAATAATAAAAAATATGAAAATCTTCAAAAATAGTAATAAAAACAACAAATCGATAAAAATAGTATATACATATCAATCATTTGATAATTGTATAATAATTATTTATCTACCTTTTCTACTTTTTCTACCTTTATTTTCTATCTTTTTTACCTTTACTACCTTATTTATCTACTTTTTCTACTTTTTCTATCTTTATTTTCTATCTTTTCTATCTTTTCTATCTTATTTATCTATCTTTTTTACCTTTTCTATCTTCGATATTTACCTTTTCTATCTTTTTTATCTTATTTATTTACCTTTTCTACCTTTTCTACTTTTGATATTTATCTTTTCTACTCTTTCTATCTTCAATATCTATCCTTTCTACCTTTACTACTCTTACTTTCTATCTTTTTTACCTTTTTCTATTTACTTTTTTTATCTTTTTATATATATCTTTTTATAATTTTATAACGTAAATGAAATTAAAATATATTGACAAACTTTGTATAAATAGGAGTGCTTTGTGAAAACTCAATAAGCTCTTTCTCATAGATCAATTTTTTAATAATTTACTGCATCACAAAGAGAGAAAATTTTTTTTCCTGCAATAACTGTCCATTTTTCTTTAAATAAAAGCTTACTAAAAGTTATAAACATGTCTTATTCACCTATAGACCAAAAAAAAGGTGGTTTAATGACCGAAAATGATCAAAAACTGTTCTCTATTGAAAATTCAATAGAAGAAGAGAAAAACAGAACAAAAATACTGGAAAAAGTGACTACAGCGAATAATAATAGCAATAACAAGAATAATATTTCTTTAGAAAACAAAAATATAGAAGAAAATCGACCTAAAACACCAGAAAATTTGCCAGAAAGAATTTTTCAACAAAGAATAAAATTACAACGAACACCACCTACTCCATCAAAAAATCCTTCTCAAAAAAGGAAACTAAAAACTGTTCACAATATAGATACAGTAAAAAACAATAATAATATTCAAAAAACAACAAAAAATAATCAACTTGATATTCCACCTCAACCATCTTTACTTAATTCAATATTTTCAACAATTGATAACATGATTAAAGGCAAAAAACAGATAAACAAAATGTCAATAATATCAATATCACTAATATTGATAACAATAATACAAAAAATACTAAAAAAATAGAAAATACAAAAGACAAAAACAATAAAAATGCTGAAAAAAATCAACAAAACAAATCGCAGTGGGTACAAGATGAATTTGATGATAAAAGTGATGGGATGTCAGAATCCAGTGTCAATCTAGTGGCAGATGACAATAATGAAAATGAACAAGGCTGGAATATAATCAACAATACCAAAAAATATTCACTCACAATTGCAAGCGAACAAATTACATCAAAATAATTTCAAGAGAAAAAAGCATGGATTTACAAAAATCTGTGCAATCAAACTGGATACATCGGAATTCAACAACCAAATTTTAAGCATTATAATCAATATAAAGTTGAATTCAATTCAGAATCTAATTGCAATTACACAATTCAATACTTGAAAGATACTTTCAATATTCAAGCAAGTCAATATAATCCAACCCAGACAGCTACAACCAATCCTACAACTTCAGGTATTGTTATTCACGATATTCTGCTGGGCACCACTATTGCGGATATCAATAATACAGTATCAATTATTGGTAAAGCCAAATCTGTTTCAGTACGTGAAAAAGCTGGATGGCAAACAGCACACGTGAACTTCGAAGAAGACGAGGAACAACTTGATCCTCAAAATATTTGGGCAATTCCTATCAAGAAGGATAGCTGTAGAGT